TCCACACACCACTTCCTATACCTCAAAGAGCCTATGAATATGTTCTATCCAACAATAGAGAAAGGTTCCCTTGTAAACTTATATTTCTTTGCAGAAACCCATTTTGTAACCTACACTCACTCGAATGTTAGTGTTTTTTTTCCCTGGGTACTCAATTCTATTGGTTTAGCTCACCAATCACTTCTCAGCTTAAAACTTTTCCAAGCTGTAGATTTTTAGTATATATGGTTACTGTTTTAAAGGATCATGTATTTGGTGGTAGTTTACTAGATTTTGTTGATCCCAATAGTCAGGTGTAGAATGGCCAGAAGGGTAAAGTGTCTTAAATTTGAAATTTTCTGTCCAGTTTAATGTATATCTTCACTGCTTTCAGGAAGCTAATGATCTTTTCTTTTTTTTCATTGGTTGTGGAGGGAGTTGAACCCTTGAGCTATCCTAATCCTAATTCATCACCCACCCTCCTTGATCACTTGGGCTAACCCCAAGTGCTTAATGATCTATTCCATTTCCGTTTATTCTATTGAGAGAATATCCTAGGGTTGTGGCTGGGATTTTAAATAATATTACTTTCCCTTACACTTACAGCTCTACGGGTTCTAGCTTTTTTCTAAGTGATTATCTACATGGTTCTTTCTTTCTTTGTGTTTTTTTTCTTTGTAAAATCCTAAATCAATCCAAAATACATATCCTCCGTATGTGTGTATGTATGTATGTATACCTGAAGGCAGGTCTTAGCTTTCACATATTACTTTCATTGAGCATGGTCTAGGGTCCTGACCAACTTTGTACCTATTGGCAAAAATAACTACTGTTTTTCTGCTACAACTTAATTTATGACGTCATGTATGGTGGTGATATTTCATACAGGAAATGGTGACCGCTCTATTCCAGAAGGTGATGGTGAAAAAAAAAACGATTCTTCAGAAAACTTAAGAGACAGTTCTTCCCAGAAAAATTATCGTATAAACTTGGATTGGAGAGAGTTCAGAGCAAAGCTATATACTGGGTGGCAGGTGATGTTTTACTTTCCTGAAGGGCTAATGTCCTCTGAAACTAAAATGCGTAATCATTGTGTCCTATAGGATACTCATCAGATATAGGAAATTCACTCCTCTCACCTTTTAGTTAATCTTTTTTATTTCAAGGTGATAATGAGCCTTATAGAATTTCCAAACATCTTGGTATTGATTAGTTTACATGTGTTATTTGCCCTCTCAGTTAAATTTGGTTTCTCAGCCATATGACCCATACCGATATTCCTGTTTTTTTAGATAAAGCGAAACTCACTGACACAGACCGACCATATCACAAATATCTTACTACACAAATACACAAAGAAAATCTCCAACTTATTTGAAAATCAGTAAAAGAAATCTGATTGAAAAATCAAGAGAGACAGAGATAGAGAAAGAGAGGAGATATATGGGAGGAGGCTGAAGGGCTGAAGGGGGTATGCAAAGGTAACATGGATGGGCTTGAGTTGACCTTCAGATTTGAGTTTTTACAAATACACAGATAGAAAATCTATGTAGATCAGTTGGTTTTTCCGGGTTTCCAAAATGAAAAATCAACATTTGACCCAACCCATCCACTTTTCATTAACATGGACCATTCACCTGATGGACTGCTTTTCCGTGTTTCTCCTGTTTTCCTTTGATAAACTTTTTTTGGTCTTGTGTTGCTCCCCCCTTATGTATTTCATTGTCTTTACTGTTCTAAGTTGATGATGATGCAGAGCCTTGTAGAAGTGTAAATACCCTAGCATAGATTTCTTTTCTTTTTTTCTTCTTTTTTTCACAACTGGTATTGGTTTGTGGCCTTTTGGTGCATCATTCCATATACATTTAGGGAGTTTCCTTCCGGGAAAGAAACAAGTGATATTCCAAGTGATATTCCTGGAATACCCCCTGATCTAGCATTACGTTGCCTGTGTAAAATTTTCTGGCACTTTCTTAGGATCATATTTATCTGAAGTCTAGCATTTATTTAGTCTAATGGCCAGATCCAAATAGTGTGCTTGTAAGTTATGTTGGTCCTCACAGGATGTTAGTAATTCTAGCATCATTACCAAATAAAATCTCTGATGATCCTCCATAAATTGTCAAGTTTACACTGGAAACTTTCAACAGGGAGAACAAGCGGAATCTGATGCTCAGAACCAAGGTGGGACTCCCTACCAATCGAAACCTCTTGGCCTGAAGTGGGCTCATCCTATTTCTGTACCTGAGACAGGCTGTGTCCTGGTTGCCACAGAAAAGCTTGACGGAGTTCGCACCTTTGAAAGAACTGTTGTTCTTCTCCTCAGATCAGGAACCAGACACCCAGAAGAGGGGCCATTTGGAGTTGTTATCAACAGGCCACTCCACAAAAGGATCAAACACATGAAGCCCACTAATCTTGATCTTGCAACCACATTTTCTGATTGTTCTTTGCATTTTGGTGGGCCTCTCGAGGCAAGCATGTTTTTGTTAAAAACAGCGGGCAAGACAAAGCTTCCTGGGTTTGAAGAAGTGATCCCTGGCCTTTGTTTTGGTGCTCGTAACAGCCTGGATGAAGCTGCTGGGCTAGTAAAGAAGGGTCTTGTTAAGCCCCAGGATTTCAGATTCTTTGTTGGATATGCTGGGTGGCAGCTGGATCAGTTGACAGAGGAGATTGAATCGGATTATTGGTACGTGGCTGCTTGCAGCTCAAATTTGATTTACGGGGCTTCATCAGAGTCTTCGTCAGAAAGTTTGTGGGAAGAAATTTTGCAGCTAATGGGTGGCCAGTATTCTGAATTGAGTCGAAAGCCTAAGCAGCAGGATATGTAGTCTAATTTATGATATCGTTGGTGCTCACTAAACAAAAACTAGTTCTAGAGTTATAAAGCGAGTCGTGCAGTTAATGTATATGTTAAGCCAATTGTACAGAAAGTTTGCTGGCTCTTCAAGTTAGTACATCTTGTTTTATTTCTTCCTTTTTGTTGTTTTTTTCCTTTTCTTTCTCTCAGTTTTCTATTTTCCTTCCCAATAAAGAAGTTGCTATTTGTGTGGTTCTTGTATGCAATGTCTTCTTATCTAGCTCAAGAGATGTACTGCAGAATCTCTTTGACAGTACTGTAAATTGTCTTAGGAATGATACATAAATACAAACTAAAAACCAATTAGAAATTTTTTAAATAGTTTTAATTGGCTTTTTTCTTTTCAAGTCTTTGTTTCATGCATTTAGCTTTCATTTCTTCATCTCCCTCCTCCCCCTCCTTTCTTACATATACTTCCCATGCATTTTAGCTACAAATAATAATGGTAAACTACATTCTAATCACTATGTTAGAAGGCATTTGATTCCGACGTTCAATTTTGTCAATTTGGTTTCATTGTTTTATACCATTAACAGTCCAAGGATAATTATTTTTCTTTTGGGTTACCCTAAGTTCAATTTATGGATTGGTCTTCTCTCTCATCAGCTCCCTAAATGAACGGACTATTTATCAAAAGATACTAGCAAAATATAACGTCCTATAGGTTAGGGTTTTTCTAGCACCGCCAGTCTCACAACCAGGGTTTGTTAGGGTTTTGTCAGCTTTCTTGCTTGCGGTTTACGGCTGTTTTAGAGGGCGTCCTTCCCATTACATGAACGGTGGGAAATACTAT